GTTTCAGCCTCCCAGCTTTCCTGGTTGCTGAGATGAAAGTGGGTGACAAAATGCACTCGTTTTCCGCACACGCACACACACACACACGCACACACACACACACACATATACACACAGCCTCTCGACAATATGCGTTTTTGCTAGCTGTAGCTGCACAGCAAAAACTCATAAAAATGCACATTGTGACGATCTTGGTGCACGTGTGTGTATGTTTGTGCTTATGTGTGTGTATATGTGTGTGCGTCGTACCGGCGTTTCAACTCAGCAGCCAAACAAGCTTCCGCGCTGAAATCTTGCCATTGGATTCCCCGGCCGTGTGCCACCCCAGGACTGTGGTGTCAATCTTCATGCACATCTGGGTTCCGAATACAAACACATGAAAGTTTTGGCGGAAAAATAGCTAACTCGTGAACTAGAAAAGCTGGGGAGCTGAAATTTCAAGGAGATGTTCCCAGTCTTCATATAACTTAAAGATTTCAAATTCAGTCCCAAGGTGTGCATGGCTCTCATGTTAAAAGTTTTTGGCGGGAAATCGTTAACTCCGAAATCAGAGAAGCTAGGAAGCTGAAATTTTAACGGAACGTTCCCTGTCCAAGGGCACAATTTAACTTCCTGAACCAGTATGTCAGAAAACTAGCTACTGGGTTGCAAGCTATCTCACTGTAGTACAAAGTACTGCAAAATGTGCGATCGCATGTGCTCGCCTGGGGCGCGTTGTCAGCGAATTTTACTGTGAAGAAACGTGAATAGTGTAAAACGAGTGTATTTCGGTGGTTGCTTCGAGAAAACAAAACCTCTTCGTTCATCCGTTTTTTGTCATTTTCGTTATATACTTGCTGTCCGTGTTCAGGTAAGGCCAGTAAACATGGCGATGATACTGGATTACGATGAAGCGACGCTACGACGGCACATGGAAAGCCGAGGCCTGGACATCGAAGTAATTGATGCAAGGATTCGCGAATTCAAGCTCAAAACCTTACCCAGTGCCAAGTATTTCGATGATCAACGGCTACTCCATTTAGTTCGTGCTTCATTATGATCGGATTTTAAATAATTGGCCAACACACCGGCTGCCGGTGCGAAGATGCATTTTTATGCTTTTTGCTTATACGCAAATGCAAAAACGCATATTGTGACGACCTCCCGTATGTGTATGTGTTTGTGTGTGTATTTGTGTATGTGCGTGCGTCTGTCCGGATATTTCAACTCGGCATCCAAGCAAGCTCCGGCGCCAAAATTTTGCTTCGATCAAACGCCACCCTAGGACCACAGTACCAACTCTCACGCGACTCTGGGACCCGCGTACGAGAAAGTGAAAGTTTTGGCGGGAAAATCGCTAACTCGGAAATCAGAAAAGCTAGAAAGCTGAAATTTTGAGGTTATGTTCCCCGCCCACGTAAAACTCAAGAAGTTCAAATTCAGCTCCCAGGTGTGCGTGGTACTCGCGTATGGCCCCGTAAGGGTTTCTGGCGCGAAAATGCCTAACTTGGGAACCAGGGAAGTTGGGAGGCTGAAATTTTCAGGGACTATTCCCGCTTGTGTACAACTTAAAATGGTCGAAGTCAGGCCCCTGGCATGTGTGGCTCTCACGTGCGGCCCCATGAAATTTTTTGGCGGGAAAATGGCTAGCTCGATAACCAGGGAAGCTAGGAGGCTGAAATTTTCAGGGAATGTTCTCAGCAGATGTACAACACAAATTTAGCAAATTCAGTGCCCAGGAATTTGTGGTTCTCACGTACGATCCCGTAAAATTTTTTGACGGAAAATGGCAAACTCGGGAAATAGAAAAACTGGGACATTTTGAGGGTTCTCATTCCCTCGCAAAAGTTAAAGATATCACATTCAGCTGCCAGATACATTTGGTTCTCGTATACTGGCCCATGAAATTGTTAACTCAAGAACCATAGAAGTTGGAAAGCTGAAATTTTAACGGAATGTTCCTTGTCCAAGTGCCGCTTAGACAATTAACTTCCCAAACCTTGAGGACCAGTATTTCAGAAATCTTAGCTACCAGGTTTTCTAGCGATCTCATTACAGCACGAAATATTGCAAAAACGCATGATCGCACGGGCCTGTCCGGTGCACGTCGTCAATAGTTTGCATAGTTACCCGCAGATTTTTATCACTAACGGCACTGGTTTTTCTGGCAGATGCTTCCAACTAAAAGAATTTCAGACCGATCGCCAGGACTCTTGGGAAGCATCCCTTCAAAATTCCAGTCTTCTAGCTTCTCAGGTTCTCGAGTTAGCAACTTACCTACTAGAGAGCTGAAATTTTGTAGGGACATTCCCTGTGCATGTGCTAGCTAAAAATTTCAAACTCAGCCCCCAGATGTGCGTGGTACCCACGTAAGGTCGCATGAAAGTTTTAGCGAGAAAGCTGCTAAATCGGAAACCAGGAAAGCTAGAAAGCTGAAATTTTGAAGGAATGTTCCTTATCTAAGTACAGCTTAAATATTTCAAATTCAGCTCCAGGCTATGCGTCATACTCACGTAAGGGCGTATAGAACTTTCTGTGGGAAAATTACTAGCTCGGCAACCAGAAAAGCTGGAAGGCTGAAATTTTAGGGGGATATTTCGTGTCCACGTGCAATTTAGAAATTTCAAATTCAACTTTCCAGGCGCGTGGAGCACCCACGTAAAGGCATGTGAAAGTTTTGGCAGTAAAACTGCTAAGTTGGTAACCAGAAAAACTAGAAAGCTGAAATTTTAGGGGAATGTTCTCTGTCGAAGTACAACTTAAGTATTTCGAACTCAGCCTTGAGGTGTGCACTTGAAATTTTGGCTGAATTTCTGACTGAACAACTTAGTTACTTTTAAAAAACGACCGCTAAATGGGAATTGTATATTTACTTTATGCAAAATTTATGGTGATTTATGCTAGTGACCGCAAAAGGTAGATGTAAAGCAACAATCATTCATG